ATTGTCCCAATTGGGCCAAAAAGGGCCACAGATCATCCCAAACTATTTAATACTGTAGTCTGTGCTCATGTATTTAAGGTTTCAATGATGTAAACCTTGTTTGTAGATTTTTCCCGAACTGCATGAACCTTAATTACACATGTAGCCCCCTTACAACATGTAGTATGATGTAACTGGAGGGGTCTACAGTGTATTTTGGTCCAATATCACTCAAGGACTACAAAGTAAGTGAAGGAGTAATATTTCAGGGGTACACTTGGTGAGCTACCCTAGGTTATTTTGTATGTAGATTCAGAATCTGCAATAATATTCTAAGTTATACTTAAGGTTCAGAAGTTATTAGAAGATTCTGGTTAAAAGTGTTATTTTTCATAGTTTATTTAATTATTTAAAGGTTTTTCTCATGAAATATTTTACAGTGTAAGTGTATTGTGTAATAATGTCTCTATTATAGTGTTTCAACTTATTTAAATAGTGTATTTTAATATTTTAATTGTATGTACATATGTAAGTAATAATATCTCTAAATAAGTAAATGCTATGTTCAGGCTGGCTCTGATTAGTAGCAGGCTGACATGTCTGGGCATACTCCTTTATACAAAGGAACAGATCATCAGGTAAATCAAAAATACCCCTGTTTTAACAGGTCCTGATTCATTTGAGTGCACCATAAAAACCCCTGTAACTCAGGCCCCTCCCTTTATAAAAACTTAACAGTTTTTATTATTTCTTTTCTTAATATCAAAACCTCCCCATTCCAAGTGTTACACATACTTGTACACCTTTTTTCTTAGCTTTGGACCTGGTGTAGCTAGAAGAGTCAAGCTCTTGGCATCACCCAGGCTGACAGGTTATGACAAATAGTGTGCACAGATACAGCGGCCACATGCCACTTGGTCATATTAAACCAACATGGATGAGTGATTCCAAAGTTTGTATTTATCTTTAGTCACCTTACAAAAACAAATGTAAAATTTGGAATCACTCATTCACATTGGGTTATGGCCAAGTGGCATGTGGCCACTATGTATCTGGGCACACTATGACTACAGTGACCATATGTCACTTGGTCATAACCCAACATGAATGAGTGATTCCAAAGTGTGTATATATCTTTAGTTGGTCACTATGTATCTGTGCAAAGACACAGGCCAACCAAGAGGGAGCACTTGGCATAAAGTGAACCATGTCACTTGGCCATAAGTTCAACCATCATGAATGAGTTATTCCAAAGTGTGGATCTATTTGTGTAAGGTGACTAAAGATAAATAAACTCTTTGGAATCACTCATTCATGTTGGGTTATGACCAAGTGACATGGCTCATATTATGCCCTCTTGGTTGGTCTGTGAGGCTGCATCTCTTCAAAGTCATTGATAACAAGTCACAAAGAACTACACATTCTTTCATTTTTTATTCAACATTGATGACTCATTATCCACCCTGTCAGTTAAAGGCTTGGGGCTTGGACATTCATCTCAGCAAAACCATATAACCAAAGTCCATTTTAATACTAACTCTCTTTTCACCAAAATCCTGTCAAAACCACATCTCCCTAAATAATCATTCAAAAAGGATTTCAAACTTGGTAGTTCCAAAGGAACATTTTTCAAACTACCAAGTTAATAAACAATTGTACATAAACAAAACAAAGTAACTTCACTAACTACCTTTTGGCCAAAATCCAGTACAGCCCACATTTATTAAGCTGATTATTCTGAAAGGATTTCTGATTTCACCATCACAGTTTCCATTTTTCTCACAGTTAATACCTTCAATTACTGTTTTGAACTTCCAAATTATGGCATCATAGTACCCAGTAAGAGGAAAGTTATCATCCAAGTCTGTTTGCCACCTATCACACTTTTGGTCTCATTTGTTTTTCTTGAGTCAACCAATAAATAACTATTACAAGAATGGTACTATACAGTTGATTGCAAGTAACTGCATTGAATGCCTGCTTGCCATACTACCATTGATAATTTATTCCACACACCATTACTCTTTGATCTAATGACTGAATACAGGGATGTTTTAATTTTAGATTATGGCAAACCCCCTTCTGATATGTCATCCTAAACTATTTTTTTAATAGCAGTGTAGTAGTAGGGTAGTTTCATTCAAATGCATTGACTGTAATAAATAAGCATGTAATCGAGGAAGAAAACAAGAACACCAAACCCATGTGAGGCTTGAGAAAGTGAGGAATATTGGAGCAGATTGATTAAAGTCCGCCAACGACGATGGAGCAGATCGATTGAAGTCCGCCGACAACAACCCTACGGAGCGATTGAAGTCCGCCGACAACAATTGACGCGGAGCGATG